ATAATCGATCAGCATATTTGTGACAGAGAACAGATACGATTAATATCTCTCAAAAAAAATATTTTTAAATTTAACAAAACCAGCATGTCAACAACGCCGAAGCCAAAATACACCAAGAAAATAATATATATAGAACAAATCATATGATTTCAAAATCGTCATCTCAACACGGGTGTTTCGGTTCAAACGATTAATGATTAATGTCGGTTTAAGCACGCAATGCCTTGACACGTCTCTGAAACTTCATTACGAAAAACACATCGAAAAGTGATTTTGAACTATATATCGCTATTTCATTTATTTTTATTAAACATTGTGATGATGTTCAATTTCAGTGTACTTTAACGCCTGAGCATGTGGCAATAACAGATTCGATTTCTTTACCAGCTCCAACTCATACCAAAAACAATTAAGATCTTCGATACATTTTCCTTCAGATGTCCTCCAGAGGCCACAACGGGACTCAATCACAAAGCTAATTAAAATTCAACAAAGTAAAGCATAATATAAATACGTTGTAAGTATTTCTATCAATGAAAGAATCGTGCCATATGTTGAAATAAGGTCAATACCTGATAATTAAATGTGTTGTTTAAAGACATTTGAGTAAATTTTCGATATGGTCACAATTAGTTATTTTAAACAAAACATTTAAAAAAACAATGGTTTCTTTAGCTACGCACGAGATTCAGACAGACATAGTTAAGAGTAGAGGAGATTGTAGCCAAGGATGTCATCTACGTCGTGCAACTGCTGCTGATAAAAACATCTAAAATTTATTGCCCCAATAAATTGATTCAATTAACATTTTCAAATGACTGTCTATTGAGGGATGTTACAGGCACGCCCCTTTGTCAGTAGCCTGTCTGTCCATCGAGTCCCGATTATCACAGATTATCTTTTTATCGCATTGTTTTCTTTACGTTACAAAGCAATCTATTCACATCGTGACCCAATAATCTTGTTTATTTGGTACCGGGTGTGTCAACCGTGGCATTCACCGTACCTATCAAGTATAATGATTTTACAACAGGAGTGATTTATGTGGGATGTAGTTATTTAATGCAGACGGGGTTCATTAAGATTGTCAGCCGAGACGATGAGTTAATGGGTGGTTCTTTTCTCTGACATAAGCGATGTCCATTTCTAAAATAATTATCAATATATGTATATTCAGGTTGTATTTCTATTTTGTCAGTACTCTCATATTAATAGTTTCATATGTGGTATATGGATTAACAAACGATCAAATCAGAATGACAAGGTGTGTGTAATATGCAAAATAAATCATTTGAAATTCTTATGAAGCTGTAATGATTTACATGTACAATAAAAGATAATAAACAGTGTGTATTTCTGAAATCCATATATATATACCCAGGTTGTGTTTTTGTCAGTACCCATATTTTGATATGTGGTATTTAAATGAACAAAAAGATGGAATCAGGATGACACCGTGACTGTAATAGGCAAAACATATCATTTGAAATTCTTATGAAGCTATAATGACTTGCAATAGAACAAAATTAGATTTATCTGAATGTTGGGTAATCGAAACATGTCAGTAGAGAGATGGATCACCATATAACTGTACTTTATAGATCAGTGTTTTCTGTACGTTCGAGGGTTAAAACTTAATAACGGTGCCTCACAGTTGCGTGTTTGACTGACAATGAAAGTCGAGTAGATCACGTATTGCAGACAGAACACTAAGTGACTATAGCGGCAGGGGTTTTGTTGGGTTGAAATATCGTCCTCGCTAGGCGATCGTGTAAACGTTAATAAACATTATCCGCTCGGATCGTGAGGTAAACGTTTAATTTTCGCAATACTGTAATATACAATAGGCGAAATTACGTAATGTAACATTCAGAGATACCAATGCGATTAAGAGAATATCAGGTACGAATAGACGTAAAGCAATTGTACCCCACGCGTCATGTTTAAATAGGACTGGTACATATTTTGTTTATTTGTTTGTTTGTTGTTTAACGCCGAGCTCTGTAATATTCCGCAATGTGACAGCGGTCTAGCCAAGTGGTTAAAGCGTTCGCTCGTCACGCTGAAGACCAGGGTTCGATTCCCCACATGGGCACAACGTGTGAAGCCAATTTCTGGTGTCCCCTGCCATGATATTGCTGGAATCTTGCTAAAAGCGGCGTAAAACCAAACTCACTCACTCACTCGCTGTATGGAGCGTCTTGTCTGGTATACACGAGGTATGTTTATATAGTTATCTCCACATAACTGTTTAATACATCAAAGTCTTATGAACTGATTAGATCTATGAACAATAACCCGTAGAAGTCTACTGTTTTGAAAGCACATACTGATCAAAGAACAGATCTAATGATCCTAACGATCCTAACGGTAAACGGATCCTTAGGTTACATGCACTCATAAACAGGTGCAGCAATGTGTTTCTTATGAAGACATATTCCAGTATTTACTGTTGTTTTCTTACGGTGACTGTCTTCAGGGAAGGACTATAAACACGGACACAACGTGTTTTAAATCTTAACTTATTTAAACACAAAGCTTAGAGACGGAGTGATAAAAAGAAAACAACACAAATGTCTTCAGCGGTCTGGGGTATGCACGTCTGTGTGAAATATAGATAAATACATATTGGTCTTATGTCACAAAATATCAATATGTATTAGTTTACTATTTTCCTTGAGGATTAGTTGATGACAATGACACTGATCACAGCCAAGACATCTGAAGGGACAAATACGCCACATAACAACGGCAGTTTGGTGAAACTTGTTAATGTACGTTTACTTTTGAAAACAAAATACAACCAGTTTATTAGATCTTTATGTGTCCTTATATTGTGTGTGGTACCGGAATTGTACTGGTGATGCTCTAACTGAAGGGCTCCCAGGTGTACTGGGAATACACTCAGACATACACATATTTTCCGCAAGATATAAAGGTCACACCTTCCTCCTTTATTGCAGCGTCTGAATTCGAGAAGTCCTTATTGACAAGTGTATGAATAATGTAACAGAAAATACCCTCTAAAAGGTATTAGCGAAATACAATGACAATATGAACGTATTCGATAAGAGATTACAAAAGTCAAATCAACGAAAAAAATATTTTCGTCTCTAAAAAATGTTTTTCCTAATTAATACTAACCCCTTGGTAGAAAGAATAATGAACAATCAATATAATTGTTCAGTCATAAAATTAGTTGCGTTAAATATTCATAAGTTTATACCCATGTTATATATTTGTATAATTAGCGGCATGAAATAAGCGTGTATCCCAAGGCACGCGGGTCCCTAAGGATCCTATTACATATTGGATAATCAGGAAATCCATATTTCAGAATATGGAATCAGTATTATATTATTGGCATATGACATTTCAACGCTATTTTGAACATTTCATTTCAGTAGTGAAACTGGCTTAAATTCTTTTTCCCCAGTTTGAAAGTATAAAGTATTGAAAATAATGATTTGAAATATTAATCGACATTAATTGACAATTTACTGTTAATTTTATTTACCAACAGAATGACTTTACACTAACAGAACGATAAAGAAAGTCATAAAGTTGACGACGACAAAGAAAGAGAATATATCTTCACTCTCTTTCTTTGTTTAGAGATTACAGTCACTGCATGTAATCCTCTTTATAACGTTTCAGAAATACGGATTAACCCAGTTTTAAGCAAGCTCTAGATACTGAATATTCTCCGAATAATTTACTGTTTCTAACAAAAATCCAGTTATAATCGTACGAGAAGGGGATTAGCCGAAATGGTCCTCTTTCATCGCATTTTCTGTGTGAGCGAGTCCCATCATACGAGGGTGGTGGAGGTCAGTTACAATGGACTGTCTACGATGCGGTGACATTTGGGCGGCATTTATCAACGATATCGGGTATCACGACACGGGCTCATTGAAGCGTGAACCGTAAGTCAATTTGTTGCCTCGTCACGGTCTAACTGCAAACACTTAACAAAGCGATCGTCACACTGAGGTACTCGCGACAGGGGTAAAGAGTTGTTCAAATTCAACGACACGAGTTAAACTGTTGTTTCTATGAAATGTTGTTGTTTATCGTAATAAATAACCGGGCACGCGCGACAAGGACAGTTGTGAATAGCCCCAGACAATTGGAACTCGTCTATTTTAGCAAGCGTTGTAAATATCAACAATAGGCCACTCTCTCACCATCTGTCATTGACGAGCCCGGTTCGGAGAGAGCGACCGGGTTCTTTGGTGTTTGGCGACATTGTAAACAATTTTTCCTTCATTAAAGACCTCTGAGTTTGCTTTGTGAAGATTAATCTCATCTTTGGTCAGGAAAATCAACGATATGAATTTGTAAGAAATTGCCAGCGTCAATATTAGCCATATGCTGACCTGAATAAATACGTGATGTGAATATAATTTGAAAACAATATTCCTCCCTGCAAACAAGAACATAAGATGACGAATATTTTGATCGGAAAGAAATATTTCAATATTTGCATTGCTTTGACGGTGTATGGGGAGGATTCCGACAGTAAAATTTGTCGTTTTCGCCTTCCGTCAATGTTGAACAGGAGGCGCGGACTTGGTTGTCAATTTCACGAGCCACGTGGTGTAAGCGAAACATAAACAAAACGTGAGCTGCGCGTGTCTGCAAGCCCGCGCTTCGTGTATGTGGGTCTTTTTACTGTCGACGGCAGTTGGAGGTCCCCCGCTACTAACACTGAACGCTGAGCGTCGAGAGATAGCAGAGGTTACTACCATTTCAATTTCAATTACTGCTTGTGACTCTGCGCTAGTATGATAATATGAAAATAGCACCAATTCGTCGAAATTAACAATGACCTTTGGCGGTATCTGATTGGCCCGCTGCTTCGCTCGTCCACTCCCCTACGGCGCATGGGCGGTAATCCAGGTCTCACCAGGCAACCGGCTCACGCGATTGGCTAATCGGACCCCATCGCTGGTCGTGCTCTCCTCCCCCGGGATCTCGATGGTCCATTGGGATGGCAGGGTAACATCCAACTGAAGAAAGCAACAAAAGCCGTTCTCGAGAGATTTTTAGCCAGAATTGGCGGTGGCACTCAGAGGAGTCTATCTAACTTGGTGGTCAATGGGTGATGTTTGGTGATAGAGTGACGGGCGAGGAGAGAGATGCGTTATGGTCTAAAGGCGAGAACACTTAGACTCTCACAGGATCTTGTGTCGTCAATTACTTCTTCACCACTGGCAGCGTACCTCCGTCCTAGAATCTACCTCTCGTAGTCATCGACAGGCGCTTGGGATTACGGCGTAAAACTACATGTGATTTTATTCGCGTGTGAATGCATGTGCGTGTGCTAATTCTGACGTGTGATTGTCAACCTACGCCCGATCTGGCAAACTTTGATGTTTGACTACCCTGAGGATTCAAACACAACATCCTCTAACACCACCCCCATGAAAGAAGAGAGTACCCACCCATCTCAAACGACACTGACACCCGTAAGAAACTGGATGCAGCCCACGGTGGTAGACCAGGGTGGCAGGTACGTGCTTATTCTCCCACCCTCGCTTCCTGTTCCCGACCCCGGGGACTAACCCTCCCTTCGGGGGGACACTCATTCTCGTGGACACTGATAATACCCCCGGTCCCCGCAGACCAATCCGTTTTGTAATACATCTCATATAATTTCGATTTCGTGATCACGGAAAAATCTGTCTATTCCCAAATCGGCCTTATTTTATGCCTGTCTCTGCATGTTCTAATGTTTGTTCTGTGTGTTGTTATTGCAGTGCCGGACTCGGCCGGGCTCACTTTGAAAAACAGCCACCCAGCAATCTGAGAAAGAGTAACTTCTTCCATTTTGTCCTCGCTCTGTACGACCGGCAAGGGCAGCCCGTCGAAGTCGAGAGGACTGCTTTTATAGACTTCGTGGAAAAAGATCAGGTAAGTTCATCCGAGAGTCTGTTTACATAATCATCACGTTCGTGACACGTTACAAACCCTGTCAATGTTCAAATCAATGAATAACCGTCTTGTGTAGAACCCTGTTTATGTTATTTTTATTTTATTTTCAGGAATCTGAAGGACAAAAAACTAACAATGGAATTCACTATAGGATTCAGTTGCTCTACGCCAACGGTAAGTCAACATTTCAATTGTATTACAAATTTAACAACACCAGCTTACAGACTGACTCACTGGGTTCGGTGTCCTAATCTCCTTTCCTTTACAACACTGACACAATGCATAAAAATGATATACCCGATATATGGTCCGCTTTCACTGGCTTTTTTTATTAATAATGAATACCCGATTATTATCAATTTTCTAGGTGAAATAAACCGTTTTCAGTCTTTATGTCAGTACATTATCTTCATATCGAAAAATAAAGGGCAGCATATGTCACAGCGATACAAGGTGGTCGAAGAATACTGGCTACAGTGAGTCTTATTACTACAAGAACTGGTTCCAGCGTAGCCACATAGCCCTTTATCATCTGTTTCAATGGACGTATTAATTATTTAAACTTTCACAAAAATGGCCTGCCAGTCAATCAATTTGCGTTTCACTGTTTTTCTTAGCCCGACATTGTAGAATTGGCTTAGGCCGTACTCTGCAAGCATGTTAAAAATGTATAAGCTTCGCGTAAAAATGAAAGTCTTTCAGGATGATATTTTCCGTTTGCAAACGAGTTTGTAGGAATCATTTGATGACACGGTTTCGTTGTAGAATTATTCCAATATAAAATTCTGTTAATTCAACATATACGGTACAGTTCCAACAATATGTGATAAGATTCATGGAGCGACTGCTCTTTGGCGGAATATGGTTCTATAAGGCCCAGGCCGTTCTGTCAATTAGTCTATGTTTTTAATGTAAACACAAACCGCTTCGAGCACGTGTTGTTATCAAACCCATAATCAGATCTATTTTCCACCAAGTGTGAAACGACATTGTAAAAACATTGTAAATGTAAATGAAACTGATCAATCAATTATTTCATATTTTCTTTGATAAAACTTGTCTCATCAATCAGCCAATAATTCAAAGAATCTTTCACTATATGCATCCTCTACTTCATCACATTCATGGGCTATTGCTTCGGGGGCTTCTTAACAATTATGCCTTGCTATTAACTTAAGTAGTTGACTCCTGGACAACGAATTAAGTCTTCTGTGAAAGCGCAGATAGCACTTTGACGGATGTCAATTACAACCCAAACGTTGTCGATTTCTCATAGATATTGACACGTCTTTAACATACACAGTTTGTTCACATATATATTATTAAAAGTCACTTAGACTACTAAGACTCAAATTAAAATCCTTTAAAATCGAATGGAAGATCTACGGTCTCATAAACTGAAAAAAACATCTGTTCCATCATCGATACACATGCTGGCATACAAAGCTGTTAAATTATGTTTAGTGCATCTTTACGGTTTGTTGAATTTCAGCTGAATATTTTATGAGAAATGCCACAGTCATCAATTCAAATTTGTCCAAATGGATTTACATATAACGCATTCTCAGACGTGGCGCTTGTTTGCATTTTCCAAAATAACTGCATTGTGTTAAGATACACGAAACATCGAGGTAAATGTCATGTAACGAACAAGATAGGGTTCTTTAAAATACTGTAGAATATATGTATCATGTACTGTAAATCGTTGGGTGCTTTGTTGGAATTATTTTCTAATATGTAAACACATTCATCAAAATTGTAATGTACAGCTGGAGTATCAAACGCAAAAATTGTAATTGAATATAGTTGTTGACAATTCCGTGACAGATTTCGTCCACTGCGTCAGTTCCATTTTCAGAAATGTATCATTGCAACTCTATGTAAACCACATATGTTTGTATACATCAGGCCTATGAACACTGTAAACTATTTAAGAAAGCAACAAACACGTTGTAATTAAGACTTATAAAATCAGTCTTTATTTAATATTAAAAATGGAAAATTATCAAAATAGATAATCATAGTGTCTTTATAGCCATGTAAGTTGGGAAAAGGATACAATGAACTCACGATCAACCGTTCAGGGTGGATACAGAAGGGTTTACTCCATAACGTTTAAACGTCCTTACAAGTAACTTGTCAAGAACGTCCTTATTTTTGTAATATTAATTTCATCCTTTAAAATCAGTCAATATTTTTTCACATTTTTAAACCTGTCCGTGTTTTTACCATGTCTGTGTCATAATTTTTATCATGATGTATGGAACATTTGGCAATGAGATAACAATCAGTGCAGAGTTAGGAAATAAAGTATGAACTCGTGCATGTTTACAACGTTTAATACTATACAGACTTAAAGGGGTGTTGATTACATTAACGTTGTTAATTTCTGTTGTTTATAAAGCTGCGTGAACTATCAGGTTTGAAACATACATAATAAATACCTCAAAGTTACCCGCCCTCTGTATGTCGATACGGGGTTTCCCTTCAGTTTAAATTACCTTGGTGACAAAAGTCGTGTCGATTGCAATAACGTGTTAATTTCTGTTGTTCTTTTCATCCGCGACGGGACGGACCATCTGTTCTTCACGTGATAATTAACGGCATCTACATTAGCTGCTGGTGTTAATTTCAGCTGTACACTTAGAGAAAACTGAATATGAAACTCGCACACCGTAGGAGTTTTCTATGGCTTAGCCGGGGTGTCATCAAACCACTTGATTTATTGATGTCTTCGAAAACGTCGGCATAACGGTAAATAGATGTTCCAAATCCCACACATTGTAAAGTCTGACCCTCTAATCTGCTGTACTTAAATACATTGTTTATTGTACGTTTTGTAAGCGCCAGTTGACATACCTAATATGGTGACTTTAAGAATTTGGATGAGGAAATTGAAAAAATTCATTTCAAGTATTAACATATTTACAGCTATGATCAAATCAACACGTACTGCAATTTGAAACGGGTGAACAAAAGGTTTATAATTACTTTGCAAATAACGTCTTTTATTCATGAACTCCTTTAATTAATTAAACGGATTCCCTGAGAAATCATGCGCAAATGTCCTGTAACCAAGTCAGGAAAAATAGTCGGGGATGCTTTAGAAGGTTATTGTGACAAATCATTCATGTTAAAGAACTATAGTTTCATGTTGATAGTGGTTATGAACGATCCGGATCCATGGTTCCACCATACAAATATCCTCTCTGCACTTTGAAGCCCAAAAAACAAAACCAGAATGCAAGAAACAAACTAACTAATTCTATTTATTTTGGTTTTTATTTCAGGCGTGCGACAGGAGCAAGATTTGTATGTCCGTCTTATTGACTCCGTCTCAAAACAGGTAAGACTGTTACCATAGGAACCAGAGCTAACAAACTCTATTTCGAGTCTTTTGTCTCCAAATTCGAATTTTTGACTTGTGTAGTCCATGCACGTTTTATCTGCCCGGAGTTGAATCGCCTTGTTGGGCTGGGTGCTGTAATTTTCTGCTCTTTCTTCTTGCATTGACTGTGAGTGTCGAGGGGGGAGGGGCGCACGTTCTTTGTGCGAGGGGGGTGGGAGGAGGCGTTAGATTAAAAACTAAATTTGTCTCACGTCCCCTCTGAGGTCAGTTCCTCCCTGGAGAATTGTGAACGAGGTTTGCGATAATACACTTTCATTGAAATGTAACCGAATAAAACTGTAGGGGATATTTGTTTATTTGAGTTCCTTATTTGTTTCGTTTCGGATATTATCGGGCGATAATACATGTTGTTTACAGCTTGCCAAGCTTTCATATAAGACCAAAAAACTATAGCATGACATTATTACACAAATATCTCATCTGTGAAATGAGTCTCCAATAAATTAGAAATCCCAGGGCGCGAGCCAAGCCATCTTAACCACATATAGACAGAGAGGCTGGACTGGTCCAGTTCATTACACCTTTTCGTTGCGAAGATGAAGGGCCACATGCAAACTCGCAATTTATTGATTCTTACAAACACTCCAATATCGTCCCCATCTGGACCTTAGCACATTCTAAAAAACAAAAACAATGTATGTCATTAGAAAGCCGTTATAATATTTCACGGTGCCAAAAGAACCTTCTGTAATCGTTGCTTTTAGTAAGTATGATTACGGGAAGACGTCACAAACGGAAAATGGAATTCGATTGGTTGTACGGTTAAGTATTGTGAATGCTTCACGCATGAGAGTAATCCCCCTCCCATGAGATAAGAATGGCAAATAATTAAAACAATCTAGAAGAAGCCAAATCAATGAGCATTCTAATACACCCTAGAGACGGACCCTGGTGACTACCTTGGATCATCACAATGGCGGAATATTAAACTGAATTGTAGCCTGTATTTAAAACCAACAAGGAAATGCGTTTGGCTCTTGGGTATTAACGCTCCGAACTACCTGTTTACTTATTTAAATATCTTCTTTACGATATTATTCTTGTTTGTATTCGTATTTTAAACATTTAAAAACAAATAAAATATATATTTAAGCAACAGTCTATTCCCTGAAGTCCTCGCAAGTTTTAATACGTTTTGTAAATGAACGAAATCCCGTTTCGTTTCATTTATGTTTCGATTCCAAAATGTGAGAAAATCGCTTTGACCTTTTAGTGTCAACCGGCACTGTTTCCCGTTCACAGGATTCACTGAAATGAATTCCCAGGGATGTTTTGATTCACTGATAGCTTTCGTCTGGTGCAGGCGTTAGAACGATACGTTTAGCTTTAGAGGAAACCAATAAACAAGAATGTTTATGTAAGGAGCGTATTTGGAAAACACCAATTTAGGCATCGGCCCGTCAACTGTTAATGGTGGTCTTATTTTCATTGTGTAGAACTGCTGCGTGATTAGGCCCTCACAGTTGAATGTAAACACTTTTTCCTCAGTCCCAAGTGACGCTGACACGTTCAAGGGGAGATTACTCAATCGCTTAGTCTGTGTTCACACTGACCCATCGTGCGTTGGCCTGTTTGCCCGTTCACTCACACCCTGACTTTAAATGATCAAATAAGTTGTGTTTTTCTAATGCATGGTTAAAGAAATAAACTATTTTTTCTTCCTGTGCATCACACGTTAAACGTGTTGTCAAGTCTATTAAAGTTCTACCCTATGAAATTTCGTAAAAAATTTCACACTGATTGAAAGCGACTGGTTTGATTAACGGTGAATACTGCAATTCGCGACATTTGCTTGGTTGAATTAAAGGGAGAAATTTGTTTACTGTTATATGAGTTAGTGTTTCCACTAATGATATTCAATCACCTTGAATTCCTGAAAACTCGAATTCTCACTCGACCTTAGATATAAAACATGAATGTCATTCACTATTTATAAAATGTTTTACTTGATAAAAAATTAGAGACGAAAGAAAATGACCCAAACGATGCCACACCCTTAATCTTAATACCACTAATCTTATACCATCAGCCCTTACCTTTCCACACCTTTTATATCATTTTCACTATTAAGCTATTTTGCTTTAAGTCAAATGGAATCTGTTTGTGATGATATTTACGACTGGTCATTCTATTGCATTTACTTCTTATATTTACAGGCAATCATTTACGAAGGCCAGGATAAAAACCCAGAAATGTGCCGAGTTTTACTTACACACGAAGTGATGTGCAGGTAATTATTTAAACAGATATAAACTGATTCCAACTGATGTTAAAACGAGACCACCAAAGAGAGGACGTCTTCAGTGGTGGGGCTCGTTATATTCAACTGTTCATAGACACTGTATCTAGTTAAAATGACATACACATGTTTACGCTTATCTAGATATTTAGATAAAACATCTGAATAATTTATTTAGATAGTGCAGGATATCTTGTACAGAGTGCAATCGATAACTGGCGAGTACCATGTGATGGCACGGAAGCTCCGCCAGGGTCAGGGTCAAGTTGCACACGGTTCTGGCAGATGAAGTCAGAGTTGAACCATTAGTGAAATAACTATATTTGATGACTCGTATTGTTGCACATTTTGGAAATAGTATTTCACACAAAACATTTATGAGCTGTGCCTGCAAAAACCGTAGTTACCTCGTATTGTTGATGTTATCTGTATACAGTTCACTATCCCCATATGTCTTTACATTGTATTTAGTATATTTAGGTTAGTTTAAAATATTTAAGCGTTGATTAATGCTGTAGTTAGCAATATTCTACTAATGTAGAGATGGTCTGTAAATAATCAAATCTGGACCAGACAATCCAGTGATTGACGTCATGAGCATCATCGATCTAGGCAACTTGGATACGATGACCTGCATCACTTTAATCGCATCTTAACACAACTATAGTTTGGATCTTTGTGTTTTTTGCTACCTTTACTACACCAAGGCATTAAGTCTGAACATCCTACACATACTGTTTTAAACATTCACACGTTGTTGTTGTCGTTCAAGTAATGATTTTATTTTAGAATTCATTTTACAGAGTACCAAGGTCTGTTTTGTAAATGTGTTTGTTAATCTTCCAGCCGATGCTGCGACAAGAAAAGTTGTGGAAATCGCAATGAGACTCCATCTGATCCCGTCATCATTGACAGGTAAGGAGACGTTTATTGTTAATAGACTCCGCATCTTATCAGCTGTCAACCATCAGATCATGGTTGAATATCGCCCGATCCATTATATGTGTTGTTATCAAGATAACATCTAGACACAAGCTGCGTCATGTACGTCTTCACCCACTTCTACCTACACACAGACATCAGCGTGATTGTTGTACACTAACGGTTAGTCAGTGTATAAACTTGTGGTTGAAACAAACAAGTCCTGTTAAATTGAAAAGGAGCTCCAGCGAAGAGGCTGATGCTTGGAAATCTAGACTTGCTTCAAGTAGAGCTTTACCATTGCAGAAAGGGCTGGGCAAGAGGGGGAAATAATGTGGTTCAGGGACTGTGAGACAGACTGCTGTGGTTACAACTCATGGCGGCTAACTACATCCATGAGTAACCTCATGAGGCCTATAACGATGACCTTCATCCTCTAGGTCATTCGCAGCATCTTCAGATCAAATATCGAACCGATTCTGCTGGGTTCGATCCGCGCATGTATTGTGTGTTCACGTGCGGTGATTGACCCGATGAGCTTGTGGCAAGTTTCAGAGCAGAGTCATTGTTCGAGTCGGTTGTGAGGCACGCGCCCCTAACACCCTCCCATTGTCCGACCTCGTCTCTCAATCTCCCCCTTTTCTGTTTCATCGCCCTCCTTACTGATATTCCTAACGCCTCGAGGCAGATTAAAAGTCTTTCGGTGATGTGCAGTTTTGTAACTTGATCTATTTAAATGTTGTTTTATATGTAAACCCCTATAACGTCCCCTTGCCTTACCCCATCCCGGGTCCGCTTTCCTGTGACAGGTGGCCCACGAGCCTAGAGCCCTTGGTAGTCTACCGCCCACGGATCCATGTGTTTCATTTGTCACACTCAGCATTAAACTACAGCAGGGACTGTCAGTACCACCTTTCTTAATTTCTCTCAGATGCAAGGCCATTAATTGCACGTTGACCATCACAAAAGATCGGCGTTAAGATAACCAGATTTTCCAATGGCTAGCCAACTGTATTCGATGCTGAAAACAGTTGGGAGTCTGAAGGCTTGGAGATTTCAAGTGAGCAATTGTAACCCTTTGGAAAAGTCGATCTCTACCATGACAATCCAAGCCTATCTATAATAATTAAACTGCCCCATTGACATTCGTCATTTGATGGCAGCAACTTGAATTCTCATATTTCTATTGTCTTCGCTTGAATAGCCCTATTTCTGAAGAACGGGATTAAGGAAAGTCTGTCGCAGGAATCATGATGAATTGTATCTCAGCTTTGATTTTACATCATTTATACCTTCACGTTTAGAGTGACATAAGATTTAAGACTTTTTGAAAAGTTTGATTTATCGCCTCGCGCTGTCGAAATGTAAGAACGCCCAACTGTTTAATCAATATCATATTCATATGTTGACTTATGTATACTGAGGTGGGATGTATTTCAAGATAAATGTGCATTGTAGGTGATCTATAATAAAGGCAGATCTACTGGTAACCGCTGATATCATTGATACGTAAAAAGGCGTAAGTGAGATTTGAAATTCCTGGTTAAAAATATTTGACTTGCAGGTGATTTATGATAAAACACACCTTCCGGAACCTTACATTTCCTGAATACGTAGTAAAGGTTAACTGAGCTTTGAAAATCATTGCTAAAATATTTGTTTTGAAAGAATATCAATGATTAGTTTTTCCTCGGATTAACTATGTAAATTAAATTATACTGTCAGCTGGCCTATACTTAAATATAAACGGTAACTAATCAGATTTGTAATAGGTATAATACTTGACCATCGTGCAAGAAGAACAAAACTTAGACATTATTTAGTCCAGTTGGTTCTGCCATGGTTGTAAGACACAAGGAACTGTCCAAGAAAATGATAATAACTATAATAATATTTTCCTGCTAGGGGGTATTCAGTACTATTCAGTGCACCGAAACTGACCGAAGCCTTTAAGGACAGTGCTCTGTATTGAAACAGGTGGACAGGGGTCAGTATGGTGTGGTCAAGGTATCTCTTACAGCCACTTCCTCTCTCTGATAATAATTAAACTGAAATATGTTCACCATGCGCTCCGGACTCACAGTGGCTGTGACCGCTTGACCAGTCGAGCCGTGTTTTACAGTACACATGTATAAGTACCTCTGTGTTCTGTATATAATCCCCCAGGAGGTCTGTAAATAATCATGCACGATACTGTAGACAAACATGTTTACGTAATTCTTTAACAGAGGCCCTACTGTCATGGAAACTTGAATAATATGTCCTATGTAGACTGTATCATATCCGATATTGTGTATAGAAGAATTGTTTTATGACACAAAGGATTGACTTTGCTGTGTTTGTTAGACGTGGCAATATCTATGCACCTAAACTGCGGGCATAAATCTATTGGTTGTCATATTTGAATCTTTTTCGCATCCAACATTCATTTAGAGTCCTTATCATGTCAAATTCGTTTAGTTTTCGGAAAAAAATAATGTGGTAAAGCACGTCGATTCCAAAGAATACTGTTATCAGCATATACGTATATAAACATATTATAAGTCTGGCTTCGTTTCCTAGGTTGGGTTGTGGCGGGAGAATTGACGTAACCAGAATTCGTTATCATTCGTGTAAAGGGGCAAATACAGAAAATAAATCATCTTCCTTCTCGAACTCGTATATCTCGAACGATATAACCGATGTCGAATGTTCGACCCTTATCCGTTTGTCTTGAAGTATTCAGCTTAGCACCACCCCCGATAGATTAACACTCGTGAACTAGCACTGGTTCTTTCTATAACCCTTATTATTTAAATTGAAACTTCGAAAAAAAACGTATTCAGAAACTCGAAGGTTTGGAAACATATATGCTCATCTCGAAGTAACACCCTTATCGCTTCCACAAGTCTTCTTCATCTGCTGTACCAACAAGTGAATTGACGGCAGTTGCAGTTTGATTTTGCTTGGCGTCATCCAAGTTTGATGAGGGCAACACTGCAAGGTGTCATCACGACTGTGTACCTTGCCCTATGGCATCTTCCCTCATCTTACAACCAACATCACACCTGCCTCCGAAGCCGAGGTTTTCAATAAACAAGGCACTCGTTGTCTTGTTCCTAATCTAGTTTCTCCCCCGCGCCTTCTAAACATTAACACTGAATTAAACTCAGGAGATCGGCGTTCTTGGCTGTGTAATCTTGCAACAGGACGCTCTTGCTTTGAGAGGCAAGAGGCTGGAGACTTGGACAAATCTCGGTTTGAAGGTAAACTGCTTCGACAAAATTTGATTTGGTCATCTTGTCTTGATGCGGCAGTTACTGAGTGGCGCACGACGAGACCGTGCAGACAGGCTAATGGTGAAAGGGATTATTGCCCAGCGATGGCTCACTTCAACACTAGTTCATCTTAGCATCGGCTTAACACAGGCTTGAGAAACACTTGAGAACCCTCATGGTCTCCGTTCGATGAGCTTTGATTATCTAATGGGCAAAATATTTACGTTGCTCTATGGCTTGACGGAGTTAGGTGGTTCTGGCCGGGCGGTGCCACGTGCAGCACGGGCTTCTCGCGTGGTCGAGCTGCCAGAGGTGGCTATTTATGAAATTGTAACGTATTCCATAAAGGTTATTAAGATGTGAGTCGGTGGAAGTGATAATTTGTCCTGTTATCACATAGTCGCGTCTAGGGATTCGTGACCAGGGAAGGTCGGCCCACTGGCAACAGTCGTTGCTCTTGAAGACGCGTCGATGGATCTAATGACACTGCTTGGACTAATCTCCAACATGTGATGTTGTTTGGCTATTGCTTAAGATCGAAATAATTTGTTAACGAACGAAGTTTGATCTAGTGGGTTAATCTGCTGATAGGATTTCTTTCTTTTTTGAAATGCACATTTAACAGATTCCAACGCTCTCACCGCCATTATAAACAGAAATTTTCGTCAATTCGCTATATATTACCACCCCACATACTTTATTTTTACATAAATATCAATAATGATAATAATAATGATCATGGTGATCTTCTATTGTCATTTGGGCGCTGTAGTATCATTATTAAAAGAACTATACATGCCAATCCTCTTTCCAGTAATAATGATACATACATGTATATTGTTTAGTATGCTCACTCCGGGCATATGGGGAGATAGAGAGGCCCTTATCGAGTGCACACACCGTTTTGTTCGCGTTACTCTCAAACTAATATATAGAGCTATTCTAACCGTTAATTAACGCCCGTGACGACTAGATAGCTTGATTGACAAGCACTGACACATAATACTCTCACTAGAAAGACCAGATCTTCTCAATTCAAAGGCAGAGGAAGATTTCTGTTGTTGGAGATCACATTACCTCCGTAATTGTCTTCTAAATTGTCCTCCACAGCCGAGAGAAAGACTAATTTCTTTATTGGGAGATATCTGCCGGCTGATTTGCGCACGGAAGGATTTTATATGCTACCAAGTCGAGTGATTTTATCACGAGCTGGCATCGAGAGTATCTCTCTCGTTCCTGGGCCTGGATTGAGAGTATTGGCGTTTGTCGGGTTATTTAGAACCATGCGGTTGTTTTCTATGACTGTATAGAACACAGCTTGTTCTAACATGCTGCTTTGCCAGTCCCTTCTTTACGGGCGTTCCTTCATAGAACGGTATTTCTATTATAAATTGGACACGGTTTTGCCATAGGCACGTATTATGATGATATTCATATGGACATATTTGTACGTGGATGGACCACGCTATCAAACAAAATATGTTGTTTATTTCGCTACGTTGATGATCAAGCCATATTTGTCCAAAGTATATATCCACATTTTCTGAATGTGTCCATGATGCGTAACATAGGATATACCCTGATCAGAAGCACACATATGCTTTATCAAGTAGGCATATTAATTTATGACCTCTTAGCGTTTCTTGTAGTCATTTAAAGAAACGATATAGCTCTGAAGATAGGATAAATATATTCATTTAAATGTTAAGTGCCGAAGCCAAGCTGCAAAGGCCATCA